TCTGCTCTGGGAAGGTCACAGCCTTGAGCACCCCAGGGGGCAGTTCCACTCTGCACAAGGGGTTGCCCCAAGGTGGGACAGATTCAACAGCAACTAACATCAGCGTAATAACATTATGATGTGAAAGAGAATTTCAAGTTCTCTTGGAATGCAGAATTTATGGAGCCATGGAGGCTGGCTAACCCCCTGAACTTATTGCCCTGAGGTAATCTTGAAACCTTAAACCAAAATATCCCCCCAAAGTCTTCTTAATACTAAACAGTAATTTAGCTTAACTCGTGCAGAATGTCTCGTCCAGCATCATGTCCCTTTAAACTACACGGGATCAAACTGACAGCAGGGACTCCAAAGGTGAAACAGGAAACTTTCGGGGCAGTGAGTTTATGTTAATGGAAGAGGCGTGACTGGGAAAGGGAGGGTGAGAATGACCGTCACTGAACTGGACGTGTAACTGTTGACTGGGCCTACTGTATATATTTTCAACAGCAATAAAAAGTAAATAATTTTAAAACAAGGTCATAAATGAATCTGCTCAAGTCCAAGCATGCTACAATTTTGTTTTAAAATTTTGGGTGGAAATGCATGAGCTATTAAAAAAATACCCACAAGCCTACTTCAAACTCTCTGTGGTTATATTTTCCTTATTAAAAAGACCACTTAAAGGTGAAGTGGCTTTATTTAAAGTGAAAATCACTTAAAGGTGAAGAAAGGAAGAATGAGAAATTGGGAGTGCAGGCGGCCAGGCAGTCATGGGTTTGCACGGTCAGCTGGCCGGGCCTGGACCCTTCTGCCTGCTGCCCAGGGGGACACCCCCCCAGCAGGGCAGATGTCGCTGGTCTCCCAGAAGCCCAGCTCCAGGCCCCGTGGGGTCCCGGCATCCAGAACCATCTCCTGAGCAGCATGGCCTGCTTTCTCCCCCGGCTGCTCTTTAAGCCCCAAGGATTGGATGGGGGTCCCCAGAGAAGGTCTGGGAGGAAGTGGGAGCAGGACACAGAAGTCCACCAGCCGGACACCCCACGGGGCACCCGCCTTCCTGTCCCAGGAACATTCCAGCTTGAGTCATAAAAGGAATATATAGCCTTTTTATTGACTACTTTAAGTAGAACAAACTAAATACATATTTAACAGTTTGGGTTCATTTATACAGTACATTAAATAACTTATGCACAGAGTTAAGTAACAAAAGTTCCTACCAGAGTCAAACGACACAGAGTCAGAAGCAACAAACCAGACTCTAATGCATCCTGCGGGTGGGTTCACGCACATCAGCCCCTTGGAGGCTTAGGTTTCTGTTTATACTCTTGACTTTCTTTTAGGGACAGAGCCTTTGAAGCCTCATCAGAAACTCGGAAAGCTGCGAAAGTGGACCTCAGGTCTCTAAAGGCCAGACAGCCCTTTCACTCTAATGCTTATGGCTGCTGTTCTCTGCCGACTCCGAGCAGGGACTGTCCCTGACACCAGCGCACGGGCCCTATTTGGTATAAGTGTTAAGAGTGTACACTGGGCAGTAAGGCCTGCAAGGGGAGCCCCATCTCTGGGGCTGTGGAGAGGGGAGGGGGTTGTGTAAATCCTGCCTCCTAGGCCTCCTAACCTTCTCCTGGCTGGTGGTGAAGGCCACCTGCACCACCGTCTTTGGAAATGAGCAAGTCAGTGCAGGTGGGCAGTTAGTCAACGTTTTGGTTCCACAAGAAGTAGACACTCAGCTGGAAGGGTGCTGTCAGCAGCTGGCCCAGTACCCACTTCATCCGGGCAGGACTCCTCTGACAGCTGGCCATCTGGCAGTCCAGGTTCCTCAGCATTTTCTTACATTTGGTTCAAATGCGCCAGCACCCATTCTCTGTAAATAGCCTAGCGTAATCTGTAAGTTAAGTTGGCTCAGTCTACTGACCTGGGAGCTTGGGTATCTTGATTCCAGAACAGTTCTAAATAAGCCTCCAAGGTATGTTCCATATTCATTCCTTATCTCTTTCCAGCGTTTCCAGAACAAATGGTCATCTGGTCATTATTCCAGTTTCCATTCTAACAACTCACTACACAAAATAATCCCCACTGTACTGCTGAAACCTCACACCCGCTTACTGAGCTATCTTCTGGCGTGACCCACAACGAGGTCTACAGCCTTTGCAAGCAGGACATAGCTGACAGATCAGGTCAGTTTTGGGCAGGGCCATACAGAGCCAAGTGACAATTTTCCATCTGGAATTTGAAGATCCCCAATTGACAACCCGATGTGAGAAGCAACTGGCCTGGGCGGGCAAAGGACAGCCACTCTGAAGCTTGCCCAGTCACAGACCCAGGGGGCTGATGGGTCCTATTTCCAGACTTCACCCATTGGACCCAGGGTGGATGGGAGACATTTATGGCTCAGGACTGGCCTAGAAATGACCCACCCAATCTGTGACCCCAGGTTGCAGGCCCACACTCGAGATCAGCTAGAGCCCCTATCCTAGAGCTGTAGGTGGAGTGCTCATACTTCCCAAGCAGATGTGCTTAACAACCTCTTGAAGATTAATTTTCTCCCACTGGATGGACTCGGGCATGGCGTAGGCCAGTGGGACCCAAAAGAAGACCTGATGACCCTGCCCTTAAGTCTCTCTCAGAATATGTAGGAACAAGTCTCACTTTGGTCACCCTGTGTTTTCTCTGAGTCCCTGGGTGGCACCGATGGTTAAGAACTTGGCTATTAACCAAAAGCCTGGTGGTTTGAATCCACCCAGGGGTGCCTTGGAAGAAGGGCCTGGCAAACTACTTCTGAAAGCCACTGAAAACCCTGTGGAACAGAGCTCTACTCTGAAACAAATGGGGTCAGGAGTCAGAACCAACTCAGCTGCAACTGTTTGCTATGGCTGGTTTTTGGTCTTCTCTGGCTCCTGTAACTTTCTATGCTACCCTATGATTCGCCTCACTGGCCAGACATGCTCGATCAGGCAGTCCCGTGTTGTACTGCTTTTGATTTTCAGAATGTCATCCAAGACCCGATAATTTCAGTAACACCACCCCGCGCCCCTCTTTGACGTTTTTGTCCCTCCAAATAAACTGCCAACCAAGTTCTCTAACAAACCTGAACATATTAACATTAAAATGTGTTTTCCTTTAAATCTAACTGTAGGTGAATGAAGGAGCTCTGTTGGCATAGTGCCTAAGGCATCTGACTGCTAACCAGAAGGTTGGCAGTTCAAGTCCACCAGCCACTCTGCAGGAGAAGACTGGGCGATCGACTTCCATAAAGATTTACTGCCTTAAAACCCAAGGAGGGGTTGCTGTGAGTCAGAACTGGCTCAATGGCAGTGAGTTTGTGTTTTAGTAGGTGAACGAGGAGCCTGAACTTCCAGCACCAACCTGGTTGCTGAGGCGGTGTCAGCTCAGACTAGAAACCAAGTGGGGAACCTGGAGACACTCATGCTCCTCCAGTTTGCCCCTCCCCACTCGGCTCATGCTCCTGCCTCCTCCCAGAGTTGGGGGACAATTTCAGAAAGGAGAGGGCTACCAAAAGGGAGGCCTTTAATCTGAAAACAAAGTTACAGGGGAAAATGACCACTATGAACATAGCCAAAGGTCTGAGGACAGTGTGTAATGCTGCCCAGGTTTTCAGCTTGGCCTCTGGGTAGCACACAAGCAAAGCGAGTGTTCCAAAGAGTCTGAAAACTCAGTAGTCATGGAACCAGAGCCCACAAAAGGGGCCAGGCCCTACACGCTAAACCCAGACCAGCACTGTGGAAACTGACATTATGCCCTGGTAAATATTATTTTGTTGGTTCTGGCTTTTTATTCCAAACATTAAAAACCTGAGCTACCCGGGCTAGTCTCATGGCCACTGGAGATTTAAAAAACCTGCCTACATGTTCATACATGGTGTTAGTCATGAAAGGACAGAGTGCCAAGGACAGACCCAGCATACATGAGACATCCTATGTCTTAAGGAAATGTACTGGAGGCTCAAAGATGGCAAGAGGGTCAGGGTCCTTGGGCTCCCAACGAGACCTGCACTGGCAGGAAAGAGTAAGTGTGGCAGTTTCCAGCACCCTCCAAAGTCCGGGGCAATGCCATCCTTGGGCTGAGGAGAGCCCGATTAGCAGCTGGAAACCCCCTGCTGACAGAGTGGTCAGACTCCCCTAAAATGGCTGTTATATTTCACAAAACTCTTCTCAGCCCCCAAACAGAAGGTATTAAACAAGGGACAGGAAACTGAGATTGCATGCCTAATAGTAACCAATGGTTGGTTGTTCAAATGACAGAGTATGTCTGACACCAAAGTATGAGGTCTGAAGAACTCTCAGGCCCAGGAGGTCTGCTGAGACGTGACTAGGCCTTCCTGGGTGAGCTAAGTCCTATCTACACCCCACGTCACGTCCTGTGGGACAACTGTAACTGGACAGGTGCCAGAAAGCATGAGAAGATCCACAGAGTGGTCTGGATGGACAGCATCTGAGATAAAAGGACACAGAACAGGATGACTGGGCAGTCAAGCGGTGAGAAAAGCTTCTGTATTTCCAAGATGATCCATTCCATAATTTGACGGTATTAGTTTGGCCAACATGCTCCGAGAAAACAGACTACCCACAATCGAGTCTCACTCTCTCAGACCAATCCATGCGCTGGGAACGATTTTCTGCACAAGCAAAATCCAATGAGAGAAAAACCGCAGGTCCTGCTAAAGCAGCCAGCCGGGCTGGAAGACCGTGCCCAGAGTGACCTGTGATGCTTGGTGCAAGTTCATTTATTGTTTATTGTTAACGGTGATGTTACTGTAATGGTGACTTCTTTCCCACTGTTTCTGAGTCTTATGTCTGAACAGCAAGGTGGAAGAGGGAGTCCTGAGTGCTGCTTTCTGCCTGGGGAGCAATCAACGTCATTTGCTGAGTGTGGAAATGAGCCTCAAGGAGGCGTTCGGGGAGAGAGGGCCCCTCCCTGGTTGGAGGTGTCCCCTCCACAGCCTGGTGCCAGCCTCAGGGCCACGTGAGGACAGTGGATGGAGCGGGAGACAGTACTTGGGATGAACTGCCTCCAGCCCAGCTGGACAAGTCAGTCTGCTGCTTCAAGGAAGCAGGGAGGGGAGCTGGTGGTCTACACTGAAAAGAAGCCAGATATGCCAGCTTTAGCTGGGAGAGGAACAGACCTGGAAAGTCATGGGGGAGGTGGCTCAAGCCAGCTGCCTGTGTGCAGAGAGAATGGCACTACAGTCCCACAAAGGACACAGATGGCTGACAGGGAACTGGGGCAAATGGCTGGACAGAGTTATACTTTTCCTGCCTTTAGTTCATTGCCTGTTGATGACCCACTGCCTACCTCACTGGTTTAAACAGTGCCCGCTGCACCCCCCACCCTGGGGCAACGAGTGTTTGTTGAGCTGAATGGTCATCAGGCGAAGGGGGGTCTGGGGCTCAGAGCCCATTGGTGTCGATGGCTGTCACAGAGGCAGGAGTTGAGGAGCGTGACGTGGTTGCTGAAGTCTTGTCCAGGGCTGGGCTTGGCACGCTGCAGTCGGCCGACCTGGCTGAGGAGCTCCTCCCTCCAGGCAGCAGTGGCCGGCTCTGGCTATGGGGACTCTGGCCATGCAGGTTCTGGCCACAGAGGCGGTGGTGCCGCTCCCAGTCCTTGTGCTGACAGAAAGAGCCGCAGTAGCGTGCTATATTGCAGCCGCTGCACGTCTCGCTGGCTTTGCGGCCACAGTTCCAGCAGTTCTGCAAGACACAGGTATCACTTAGTGGGTGCTTGCTCTGTGGGGCAGGCCTGTCATCACTAGTGGAATGGGGGTTGCACGGGGAGCACCCCTGTGGCTAAGTCCCGCCTCCACTGGTACCTGTTTAGCTGTAGGATAGACACAAGCCTGAGTTCCCTGCAAATCAGGGAAGCTACCTGCTCATGGGATGATGGGGACAGGAGCACCAGCACAGGGTGGGTGGTAGTCCCCACCTCCTGTGGAAGGCACAGACTCATTTTCTGGACTCACATTTTAATCCTCCGTGACTAAACCAAACCCTGTTCCAGGGTCCACACGGCTCTCTACTCTGACACCACACACCCACACTTGTTTAGAGAATCGTGTTCTCTCTCACTCTTCCTAGTGGAAAGAGCCTCACTGTTTTCACTGAAAATACCTGATCTTTTAACTACGGCTTTGAATTGGTTCTTCCCGGTTCAGGCAGGGCTAAAGAACTGAAACTGGAACAGACCCACATTTTTTAACTGAACTGGAACGATAACCAGGATGGGAAAACTACAGGTCGTAGCCCTGCTAGAAACTTACTCCTACGGATAATCCACCCCAGGCTCCTGACAGGGCTCAGGACGCCTCTTTGGAGCCTCTCACTCCAGAGCTCTGACCTGTCATTTTCCCCACTTCAGATCTCCCAAATTTAAAAAATTCCAGTCTGCTCTTGTTTCAATTCATCGGCCATGATCAAACTGGTTAGTAGCCCTGCTTTTAACAAAGAGCATAAAGGAGCGTAAGGCAATAACCCATCTTTTAAAAAAGTTACCTACCAGGGAAGCAGGATGGGTGACCAGGAACAGAGGCCGCTGTGCTACCTCCCCTTTTGTCTTCTAATGCTATTTTCCTTTTAACGATGTGGCTAACAGCAGTAGATGGGTTGGGGATCATGGGAATATCTTTCTGGATTGAATACAAAAGCCACTTACAATAACCTCAGAATCTAGGGCCCCTGGTATCTAGGTCAGGGAGCTTTCTTATGATTTATACTTTCCTAGTAGGAAGGGAAGGAGCTCTGGTTGCATAGTGCCTAAGGCACTTGGCTGCTAACCAGGAGGCTGATGGTTCAAACCCAGCAGCCACTCCTCGGGAGGAAGGTTGGGCAATCTACTTCCGTAGTGATACTGCCTCAGAAACCCAAGGAGGGGTCGCTATGAGTTGGGTCTGACTTGATGGCACATGACAACAACAACAACAGTAAGAAGGGAGGAGCTCTGGTAGCGTAGTGTGTAAGGTATCTAACTGCTAACCAGAAGGTTCAAACCCACCAGCCACTCCTCGGAAGGAAGATTAGGCAATCTATTTCTGTAGAGATACTGCCTCAGAAACCAAAGGACAGGTTGCTATGAGTTGGATTGACTCGACAGCAGTGAGTTTGTTTTGTTTTTTTATTAGGAGGGCAGGTGATTGCTATAGCTTAGCAGAAACCACCAGGGGAAAGAACACAGTACAAGTTGGGAATGTACTAATTCTATCACAGAAGGTATGAGCCAAGTGAAACTTGGATAGAGCTAGAAGTAGCAGCCATGCAAGAAGTAGTAGAAATGGGCAAACTGGGCAGACAACTTTGCATTTTCCCCAGTCAAGTAGGAAGAAGAGCATCGTCAAGAAGGCAGCCTCCATGTTTTCCTAGGTATCAGGCAAGAGGAAGGCTCTCCTGGCTGCCAGGAAGGACCTCAGCAGCTGGCCTGTTGCCCCGCAGAAGCCAATCATCAGACTACATGTCTGTAGTCCCATCAGGGAAGAAAGAAATCATCCCCAGGGAAACCAGGACACTTGTTCTCAAGTATGAAACAGACAACAAGCACTAATAGGACCTCGGGGCCTAGCCCACTTTTTCTATTGTACAGATGGGAAAACTGAAGGCACGAGGAACAGGGACTTACCAAAATGACCAAGTAGCTATGCAAAGTATGGAACCCAGACCCCCTGACACCACTGTACTCAATGTACAAACTAAGTTTCAGAGAGCATTAAAATGATTACAGATTCCTTTCTAATGTAACAGGATTCTTAGGAAATATACTCTAGAGACTCTTAAAACCTGCCAAGAACAGCATGAGGACCAAAATAGTGAACAGAAGGATTCTTAGGCTACATTTATAGATCCTCCAGCAAACTGCACTCCAGAGAACAGCATACTTTGAAGTCTTCGAGGCTGACTGCAAACGGTGCCTCGGCAGATCACTGCTGCCTGGGGGAAGAACTCAGATACTGCCTACACGGGGGCAGTGGAGACACAGGGCCGGGGCTGTGCCAACAGGAGGCCTGACTCCCTCCGGAAAGTCAGCAAGAACATGTCAGAACCGGGTCACAGTATCAAACCACCGGTACTTTTCACCTTAGCTGGTATTTTTAAAAATTATTATTAAAATTTTAAAATAAGTATTTTATGATTTATGAGCTGCAATAAAGCAAAAATAAACAGTCTCGCAGAGGGGCAGGATCAGAGAGACCCAAGAACAATGCGGTTAGTGTCAGAGCAGCCAGGGGCAAGAAGGGCAGTTTGACGTTCTCTTCGGCTTTTCCATGACTTAATTATAAGGCTTTTTGCCAAGACATAAGACAAAAGCCTTACTGTTACAGTCACCCTTCAAATCAGCATTCCTCAAAGCTGGAGCAACAGATTGGACTCAACTGTCCCCTGTGGTTAATGGGGAAAGTTATAAACCTTCTAAGTTAGTAGCCATGGAAGTTAGAAATGGGATTCCACCATTTTTTCTGTGAAGCACAGGCTGTCAGTTTATGTGAACCACTACTTCCAATGTGGCCTGGAACTACCTGAATTGGAATTACCTGGGGCTTGTCAAAATCCCAGGGGCCCATCCCACACCTCCCTCATCTTACTGCAAAATGGTCCCAGAGGAAACAGAGCATGCCTGTGGTGGGGATACTGGGGCTTCTCATTTCATCCCCACACCCCTGGGCATACAGGGGAGATGGTTGGTTCTGGCCAGGAAGGAGCTGCCACAGCTTAGGGACTGCTTAACAACACACTAACAGAATCTTTTCCATCTGCACAGAGCATTGCAGTTTTAAAGCACTCCCACCACCATCATCTAGTTATATCTTCAGAGTAACTGAGCCCAGTACAGCCAGTGCGCAGAGAAGAAAACTGACACCTGAGGAACCGCCAGCAGTGTGAGGGCGCCTTCGCCCACACCACACCACCTTCTCACAGGAAGAAGGAGAGACTCCAGGGATACCTGCCAGACGCCAAGCAGAATTAATTCTATGGATGCAAACTGCCCTTCTGGTACAGCACAATCGCACGCGAAGCACAGGCCCTGCCCTCGGGAAGAGAGTTTGCCAGCAAGAGTGCTAACGTGGTTCCTCACCTACAGACTGTTTGGGCTCTGTTTAAAATTATACCCTGAAGAGCTGGGATCTAAACCCACGCAGCCTACACCCAGAGTCACGCTCTCAGCCAAATGCTACACGGCCTCTTTGCAAACAGATAAACACAGATAAAAAGCAGAAACAGGGGCACATGTGGATGCTGAAATGATGACTACAGATCCAGAATTAGATCTAGAGAATACACAGATATAGTGCTGCTCAAAAATGACTCTAAAGCAGGAGGAGAGAAGGGAAAGGGGATGGGCTGAAGGAGCTGTTTTCTCACAGCTCACTCTTCGTTCAAGCGCTATGAGGTGGGACTTCACCACACCCTCGGCACCGACCAGACGACGTTCAGGTGTTTTAGTCTTCACATTGCCATCTCTAGTGCTGCTATACTGAGATGGAGCCTTTTGGTATGTTGTTATGTGCCGTGGAGTCGGACCTGACGCATAGCAACCCCTCCTTGGATTTCCGAGGTGGTATCTCTAAGGAAGTAGATTGCCCCATCTTCCTTCCGAGCAGTGGCTGGTGGGTTTGAACTGCCGGCCTTCCGGTTAGCAGTCAAGTGCCTTAGGCAGTACGCTACCAGAGCTCCTCCTTTTGATTTTTGTAATCACTGTGGTGCAGAAGTATCCTTTATAGAAGTTTTGAGCAGGTGGCAGGTGTGCCTGATCTGTCTCATCAGTTCCTAAACTCTCCTCTGTGTAAACACTCTAGGGCCCTGCCATCAGCACTGAGGGATGACGTTGGTTATACTCCCTGAACCAGTTTCCTCACCTGTGGATTTGGGGATCAGCAGCACCTACCACACAGCGTCACTGTGAGGACCACAAGACTGCTTAGAGCCCCCACGTCAGTGTCGGTCATCATTATTACAAAGCACCGGGTACACAAACTGACTTTAGGATGGGTTTTCACAATTTAAACCAAATAATGAGAAGATAACGATTTATCATCTTGGAATGCATAAGAGACCCAGAAAGCAGAATGTAATTAAAATAGTGACACACTGTAACAAATGTAACTAATGTCACTGAGAAATCTGTGTAGAATGTAATTTGCTATGTAAACTTCCATCAAAAACAACAACAAAATAATTTTTTTAAATAGCCCTAGAGTGAGAAGCAAAACTCTCTGCCTGGATAAAAATGGCATTTGTCTAGTGGAAGAGTGGATTGTTTGTGTCTTACTGCCCAGTCCCTGAGAAGCGAGCAGCGGGCCCGGTCACTCCAGACTCCCCAGCCCAGACCCCAGGGTCTAAGAGAGCTCAGACCTCCGTTGACTCTTCTTGCTCATTGATGACCAGGAAGGCGTCCTCTGCAGCCTGCCGTTTCACGTCTGCAATGGTTTGCTCCATCCGAGCTCTCTCTGTTGCAATCACTTCGAAGGCTTTTTGCTCAGCCTCAGCAACAGCTTTCTGTACTTCCGACATGGCCTGAATTTTCACTTTATTCACAGCTTCTTCTAGAAGAAAGCGACAGTATAATCAACTGGAAAAGAAATCTGCTTCCTCCTACCCCAGCTCATTTTTCTGAAGGGTCAGAGCTAAGAACAAGGTAAGTAACAACACACAGGGATGAACATAGGATAGATGTGCTTCATACACTCACCTGCATTCATGCAACCATCTGTTGGGTATGTAGATAAAAGTGGGCATTGTGCTAGGAGTTGGGGACACACAGATGACAAAGATATAGTCCATACTGTCAAAACTGTTTATGACTGAATATAAAGGTGCCTTAGATACTGTATGTCAGTTAAGAGTTGACAGTCCTACAGGGGAAAAGTGGTCAGCTCTACCAGGGGCAGGGAGATTGAAACAAAATGTATTCTCGTTGAGAGGGTACGTGGAAACAAGTTTTTGGAAAGTTTGGCACGCATGTGAAGCCATTTGGCTTTTTCCCCCCTTGAAGAAAACAGGAACTTCCTAGAGGGCTCTATGGCATGCAGAGCCTGACTGTAAACAGTACCAAGTGGACTGCAGGAGGGCCAGGGTGGATGACACTGCAGGGAACGTCGGTGTACAAGGATCTGTTTCAGTCTCTGCTTTCAATTCTTTCGGGTATTACCGCGGAGAGAAATCTGCTGCATCACATGCTAATTCTGTATGTCACTTTTTGAGGAACCGCCCAACTCTTTCCACAGTGGCCACAGCATTTTTCATTCCCACCAGCACTGAATGAGGGTTCCAGCTTCTCCACGTTCTCAACAGCACTTGTTACCTTCTTTTTTATAACAGCCATCCCAGTGCATGTAAAGTGTTGTCTTATTGTGGCTCTGGCTAGAATTTCCCTCTGAGACACATTCTATCTTCTCCGAGTAAGGGTAAATTAACCGAAAATGCTCCTTTGGGGAATGCCCTCGCTGGCGCTGTAGCAGAACAAGAACTCAAACCTACCTGACCCACAGAGGCAGCAAAGACACTTCCCAAGGAAACAAAGTCATTGGACCTTTCTTACCAAGAGAAGGGGTGGCCTAGCCAACCCTTGGCCCTACTTGCTTATTGCATGGCTCTAGCTCCCCTCCATCTTAGACTTCCAAGGTGAGAAAGTGGAGAATCCTACAATCAGTCTTAACATAATCACAGAGAAACATCAAAGGAGAACAGACTTACTGGAGGGAAGCAGGAAGAAGCTGGCACTTCCCCCCACCTTTTAAGACACAGTTCTTAAAGTGCAACATTGCCCTCACCCCTCTAATCGCCTGTCTCAAGGATTTTATTTGACCTTGACCAGCAGTTCTCCATCTCTGCACGTACTTGGGTGGGGGAGCTGGCAACCCAGAGCAGCTTCAGCCCATCCATACCAGCATCACCTGTGGGGTCATTAAAGATGCAGGTGTCGGAGCCTCAAATCTACAGAACCAGAATCTCTGGGGATGAGCTCAGAAACCTACATTTTAAAGAAAATCCTCCATGACTCCCATTCACAATAGTTTGCACCTTAACAATTTCTGTCTTCATCCCCCACTAATTCTATCCCACTGGTGGCACAGTGCCTAAGGCTAACCAGATGGCTGGCGGTTCAAACCCATCAGCCTCTCCTCTGAAGGAAAATTCGGCAATCTGTTTCCATAGAGATACAGCCTCGGAAACCCAAGGAGCTGTTGCCATGAGTTGAACTGACTTGACAGCAATGTGTTTTGGTTTGCCATGGTAATATGTAGTTTCCCAATATACTGCAAGTATTTTTTCCAAGTTATATTTTATCTTAGGAAGAAAACCAAAAACCGTACTGGACTAAAACTATGTCATTAGGAAGGGGAGGCAAGAAGGAAAAGAAGGCTAAGAGTTTGATAAGGGCACCATAAGGGGCGTGAAGTGAGTTTATTTCTCTATCTTGCCAGAATAGCAAGTCTCCATTCTCCTTTGTTCTTGTAGAAAATCAGGCCGACCCAGAACAGACTGGACCAAGTGAAGGCGAAAGAAGAGCAGGGGAGTTAAAGAGCTGCTCTAAGAGCAAAATCTACAGCGTGTTAACGTAGTGGACCCAGCGTATGCAGATGCTAGGTAGTTAGGAGACCAGGCACACCACTGTGCCGAACCACACCAAGGTATATATGTACGAAGAACTGGTTACTTAGTGCCTTTGTGTGATCCAGTAGAATGGGGTGAGAGACTTGGATAGGCTATAAGGAGCCATTCCAAATTCCTGACCAGCAAAGTAACATGACAGGTAGTCCAGGAGATGTGTAGGACAAGCTGGAGAGGAGAGGCAGGAGGCCTAGGGCTCTAGGAGGAAGAACTTAGGAGGCAACCAAATGACCCTGTTACCAACCTTTCCCCCACATGTGTGCTCCATGCTCACCCAAACTGGAGACTACACACAAGCAACTAGCAGACAACATACCAGTTTTTTTCCAAAACTCCACAGGTACATATCCTGTTCCAGGCCGACTGTTGAATTCCCGTTGGGATTCTGCAAGACACAGAGAAATAGAATAGGGTCAGAACCTGACACGGAGAAATAGATTAGGGTCAGAACCTGTCTATAATCAGCATGCTTTATTTTTATGAAAGATTTTTAGCAGACTCTTCATTCACTACTAAGAAAGATGCTATGAGTTGAATTGACTCAACTTATGTTCATTCAGCGCCAAACATATTCTCACAAAGGATAAAGTCAATTGATAAAAGAGTACACTCAATTATTAACTTAAAAAAAACAAACACACATCTGAATGGGAAACCAATTTGCACTGTAAACTTTCACCCAAATCCCAATGAAAAGAAATGAAAACAAAAACACATATATGTGAAATTAGTGGTATTTCAAAGTAAAAAGTAATCTTCATTTTTTTTCTACTTATCTTTTGTTTTTGTTATGTGCCGTCGAGTCGGCACCGACTCATAGCGACCCCTCCTTGGGTTTCCGAGGCAGTATCACTACAGAAGTAGGATTGCCCAACCTTCCTTCTGAGGAGTGGGTGGTGGGTTTGAACCACCAGCCGTCTGGTTAGCAGGCAAGTGTCTTAGCCACTATGCTACCAGAGCTCCCTCTACTAATCTACATGTCCTAATTTTTTTTCCTATGGACATGTACCTATTTCGAAGGTATGCCCCCCAAATAGGAGTATAACTACATACAGATATTTATGGTATGTGTATCTGTGTCCAATTTTACTGTCTGTATCATGCACAGATCTCTGGGAAGTGCTCTGTAGATATGTCAGGGAATACAGAGTTGTTACTTGACAACTCTGAAGCTTCCTTTAAAGTCTCTTAAAATCCTTATAAACTAAGCACAAAAAATTACAAAGCAAGTTGGAAAGAAAACACACACTGTGTAAGTATGATGAAAGGACACAACCTTGACACACATCTTTTCTGATTTTAAACCACGTGTCCCCTTGTCCTAGTTGAACAACTAACTGCCTCTTGGTCTAATTACAGGTTGAGCATGAGCATAATTAAATAAATATTTAATTTTGTTAAAACATAGTAATCTAAATTATGCAGTTCCCAGGTCCAAGTGCCTACTAAGCATTAAGAATGAGATGCTGAGCATCAAATATTAGAGAGAATATCTAGAAATCATAGTTACTGAACTTGTAATGGGCTGGAAGGAAGGGCTGGATGCCTAATTAGGACAGTCGATGAAAGATTTTAGCTGGTTTTCTCATTGCAGTAGCTGAGATCAGGACCCCAGATCTCAAGGAGGAAGAGTACAGGAGTTTAGGACTTCTAGCTTAGTCTTTTTTTTTTTTTAATTTATTTACTGTGTTCATTGTCATTTTCTCCATCTAGAATGTATGCTGCTTTTTTTTAAGTCTTTTTTATTTTTTGCTTTGGGTGATTTTTTTTTTTAATTGTGATTTGAGTGAAGGTTTACAGAGCAAATTTACTTTCCATACAGCGGTTCACATATACTTTGTCTCATGACATTGACCACAGTTTACTACAATGCAACAGCTCCCTTCCCACTTCCTCCCCATAGTTACCTCTTCCCTGTGTCCATCCCTCCATGGACTCCTGCCCCTTGAGCTGTCTCCCTGTACAAAAGTAACCATTCTTTCTCCCATGACTGTTCTCTCCAAGGAGTGTATCTACCTCAGGTAAATTTTCAACTCATATGCCTGTCTTTTGTTTGGCTGGAAACCACAGGTGCCATATTGGTCACTCACATTTGGTACATCACTAGGACTAATTGTTTCCATGAATTCTGGTTTTCTTCATTCTCCTTTGCTCTGGACGAGGAGAGACCCTCGTTGCATCTGCATGGCAGCTTGCTAGGTTTTAAGATCCCAGTTGCTACTCACCAAAGTAGGAGGTG